TTCTTAAACGACTCGACCTAAAGGGCATTGCAAATGATCTTAGCTTAAATCATGTTTTTAACACGATCAGATAAATTGTAATCCTGATTCAAGCTTGAATCTAAAGATCTCAAAGACCTTTCTGTTGAACTCCCAGCTTTACAGGAGAAATTAAATCTTTAGAATCTTAGACTGTTGACAAATAGTTCAGATATCAACTTAACAGTAGGATGCAATCCAGGAATCCTATTTTATGATTGATGCAACCCATAACAATAGAATTCCTAACCATAATTATGAAAATTTAATTCCGTCCTTCATAAAATCTTGTTAAGACTTCAAAACTCTATAAAATGCCAATCATGTCTATCTTGTAAGTATTCCATCTCATTGTCATAATAAACCGAACGAGCAAAGTGCATTCCTTAATAGTAAATCATCAAACTACGACTTGTAGCTTTACATAATCCACCATCACGTTTGAATCATACAAGAAGTAAACTTTGAGCACGTTCGAAAGATTTCTTGAACATTCCAATAATAATCCTTCAAGCATCATCGTTCTTTACAACCACAGATATCCACAAATCCATACGATTTAAGCGAAAAATGATTGCAATTTTTACTGACATAATTTATTTATTTATTTTTTATCGTCTTTTTTGCGATTCCAGTACAAAAATTATAAATTTTTTTAAATCGAAGCATTATTCTTTATTTTTTTATTTCATTACATGATTAAGAACATAGAAGATTGGCTTGATATTTCATAATATGATGTCAATTACTCTTAAATGCACTGAATCTTTTATTTTTTTTTTAAATTGATGTTTTTTTCATTTCTCATAATTTTATTTTATTTTATTTATGTTTTTTCTGTTAAGGATGATATCAAATATGTCAATGGATGATAATACATGGAACGAATGAGGAGCAAGAGAATGTAAAGAAGCGAATTTAAACATAGTTTTTTTTTCATTCTTCATATATAAATACTTAATTAAAAAAGAATATGCTGTGTATGAAGCCTGAAATGAAAGAGAAAGAAGAGAGGAAGCATTGATATTAGATAGAAATGACATTAATGTTATATAAATTTAAAATTATGGTGACATCATTGTGGAAGATTATCAGATATGAGACGTCATTTACGATCAACCCCCTTAACCAGTGATGCCCAACACATGTAATCCCACGAACCGTTTTCCGTGTGCATTTTCAGTCATGAAGTGCCGTGACACAAAAAAGGTTGCCCACCACTGCCCTAACCTAAAATTCATCGAATTTCACAACATAACCAAATCCAGAGCAGCATTAAGCACCAAAATAAAAATTTTCAACTGAATTCCCACAATGACATCATCATGAAACGTTATGCAGAGCGAGATGAGTCATCGTGTGACGAATGAAACTGAATTTTCGTTGAATCGTCTGCCATTTAAGCTGAAATTGAAAGCTGATGAAAATGAATGACGTCAACGACTGGATTGAATGAGATCTTTTACATAGAATTATGAAAATAAAATTTTTTATATCTTATATTGATCTTGTGTCCAGCAATTAAAAATCTATTTATAGGAACATCCAATACCAATAAAAGGAATGAACAAAGAATTCTTAAAAGTGAATTTTGTGCGCAGCAACAACAATTACAGTCGGCAAAAGTATAAGGTCAAATTCGAATATCGCGTGTCGTATGAGGAAATTTCTCAAATTTATAGCTTGTTGTACTTGCCACATGTCGTTCATTGAACCTTTTTTACACATCTACGAGAGCGACGTCGAGTAAAGAGAGAGTAAAAAATTGCCTCCAATCGAGCTAACGATGATGATAACAATGTCATGGATGAATATATTTTTAGATGCGACGACGACAGAATACACAAAAATACAGAAAAATCTCTCCCGCATTCATTTCAATATGCATCCGGCAAATTGCTTTATGCTGTATTTCTGTACATATGATTCTCATTTTTTTTCTTGTACTTATCTTATCTCCATTTTTATATACATGTGAACTTCAGACTTGCAACAGTGACTTTGATATTTGTGAATGTTCGTAAATGATGTCACTGAGATGATGATTTTGAACAACTTTTGGTTTTTGGACGTAGTCATGGGGTTTGGTAAGCCTTGACCCTAATTTCGTGATTAAAACTGACATCGGAAAATTTTAACTATTTTTAAAAATTAAAATCTATAAGAAAACAAATTCGGACCCCTTCAAAAAGTTGTGCCCCTTAAAAAAAGGGGGGAGCTGGTTCTCAAAAATTCTTGTAAAATGAAAATAAGTGACTTCAAGGGGAAATTAATACGATAAGAATTCGTCGATTCGGACGTCATTTGCGACCAACCCACATATATTGCGTCTTCATTAGGAATCGTTCACATATGACGTCTGAAATTAACGGTCATTTTTCAAAAAAGAACAATAGATTTCCAAGAATTTCTGTTGTTCTTTTCATGCTAACCCCCACCTGGACGTCATAAGTGAATGGCCCCTTATTAATGTTGCTGCTCCTGTTTTTATGAGTGTATGTGTGTATGGATAGACAAAAAATAAAAATAAAGAGATTAAAATAAAATTAAATCATATTCATGAACACATTAATTACAGCTATGGATGTATAAAAATTAAATTAACGTAAACTGACAGGGATGAAAATGTGCGATATTCTCTGACTTTAATTTGTTTAAAAAGGCATAATGACTGAGGGAAATTATGGATATGCTTTGTTTATTTTTGGAACAACTGTGTTATTGGATTGTAAATATGCAGTTAAGAAGGTTGTTTATAATTTGAATTTAAGGTTATGATTGGTAATTTAGAAATTTTTTGTGTTGGGGGGTGTTTAAAAATTTCAAGTTTTTATGTACGTCATTTTTGAATCAACCCTTTAATGAACTCTTAAAGATAAAGCAAAAATACACAAAACTATGCAGTCAAATGATTCAAGATAAGCCATACAAAGCTATAAATAATAAAAATTCTGAAGCAGTTCCAAAAACATTTCACCCCTGTCAATGATAAAATAATCCTGAAAAAAACTGATAAAAACCAACTCAAAAAGTGTGTGCTAATATCAAGGCCAAGACACAAAAAAATGAGGCTAATGTCCAGCAAAAATAATAAAAAAGATTTAAATAAATTTTTTTGTGTTTTTTTATTTTATTTAATTAGAAAAAAAAAAACTTCATTTATCTCTCACATTTTCAATCATTCATGATTCCGATTATTCATCGACTTCAAAAAAAAAAAATATTAAAATTAATTATTTTATTATATTTTAATTCGTATCCCGATTGACACAAATATTCGTACAATGAACTCCGTACAATTGTAATCTAGACAATGTGAAGTCACCGAGAGCAAATAAAATATCGCAACACGTGCCAGGGAAGTTCTTCTTATTCATTTCGGCAAAGCAAGAGACACAAATAATAATGAAAAAAAAAAAAACAATTATTAAAACGAGTTGTTCCTAATCAACCTTAATTAAAATGCGCGCAAAAATAAATGAAAGGCTTGATGATTTGTGGAAAATTGAAGACTATGAGTAAAGTTAAGGATGTAAAATCTTCCAGAAGACAAAATTGCTTATTTTTCGTATACGAAATTTTATGATGTTTCTGAGATGTCTGCCTATACCTCCATATGCTTAATGAGCATTTTTTGATACCATTGAGCTTTCTTATTAATACTCAATGACAATTACTCGTTTGTAAAGGCTGTAAATGACGGGGATTCAAGTTTGGAATTTTCAGACCTACCAACTCTATTTATTGAGCTTTAAAGGATCTGTAAAACAGTTGATCAAGTGCTAAGGAAACGAAACTGGTCACTTTCATGTCTATCAATTAAGAAAGTTTCCAATTCTGCTTAATTGTAGCGAACATATCAATGCAAAGTACCTAGTCACAATTTATGTAGTTATGATTCATACAAACTGAGTTGGTAAAGTGTAAAAGCACCTTAGTCTGATTAGTATGGAATGGAACAAGTTCTGCATCCTTATCTAGTGCTTGGAGAAACCTGAAAAGTTACAGACCTTCCAAAGAATGATGAAAGTCGTTAGAAATGGTCTTAATGAAGGTGCTAATTTTGAAAAGATATTTGAAATCTGACAAATCGTAAAAAGACAAAAATCCACAACCTAGTTGAACTTTAAAAATAAGCACGTAAGTCTAAAATCTTCCAATTTCTCCAGCACACGTCATTTACGACATCACAAAAAATATATAAAAATCAAGTAAAAAGGGAAGAGAAAGAAGTTTTGCTGATAATTTGTAATCAAACCAAACATTTGTCGGTTTGTTAACGTTTGATGTGGGACAACATTATTTATGAGGGTATCAAAAAAGAGAATAATAATTTTGGCCGAGACATTTTTTGTTTCATTATTTCAAATTTCTTTGTTGTATTTTAACTTACTTAAAAAAATGATTACATAGGAAAAATGTAAAAAAAATGTTTTTTATGCGAATTGAAATTCAAATCTTTCATATTTTTTTTTTTTTTATAAAGCATTTTTCATCTTATTTCGATGGAACCAAGCGAAAATGCACTTTTATTCATTAATTCCTAAAAAAAATCTCAAATAAAATTTTATTCTTTATTGACTGAAAAAAAATACAAACTTTTTTTTCCAACGCTTTTTGTCAATTATGCGGAAGTGACTTTTTGAATTTCAAATCTCATTTTACAAAAAGAAAAAAAAAATTTATCAAAAAATAATAAAAAAAATTGAAGAATTAAAATAATTTTTTTAATAGATTATAAAGACAAAATTAAAAGGATACAAAAAAATTATGAATCCTAAATTTATTAATGTTGTGTGTGTTTTTTTGTGGATAAGATGTATATGTATAATTAATTAAGGATGATTTCCACTGTGCACGTAGGAGGACGTCTCCAATCACACGATGAACGAAATTAAAAAATTTTGTAATTTTTAAAAACTGCGAATTTTCTTTTTCTTCTGTAAATTTTGGAGTTGATTTTAAACTTTTTATTCTGTTTTTGGGGGTGCTGGCTGGGCGGACAATTGCGGTGCTGTTAAATTACGCGCTTGGTGCCTTACCTCTAATAACCACATGTAATCAAATAGTCTCCAAGTTTCTCAACTACGGAAGCGGCCTGTTGTGGCTGAACCGGCTCTTCATAGATTGCAACAATTACAGCTGTTTGTGCGATAAAGGAAGTAAAGAATAAAATTAGGTTAATGTGACATATAAAATTGAAATCAGAGTCGGCAAGTCAGTGGATTTTAGCCAAAAAAAAGTAAAGTTTATTGCCTTAATAAAATTTATGCACATAATGTTGTATGCTGAATTAATTTTAGTGCTTTTTAGGGGAAGTAGCAACAGACTTTTATGCTGCAAAACATTATTATTAAATTTTACTTCCATAACCTGACACAACTTGAATCATTACTCATCAAAATTCTCTAATCAAAAGAAATTAGTATAGGCATGGTCGATGACATGGCATGAAGGAACATGTTTATTATTATTTAGTGTTATTAAATCAAAGCTTCAAAAAAAGTGCAAGTTTATTGAAAATTTCCAATTTAAAATAACTGCCATTAAATATTTGAAAAAGAATGGTCAAAAGAATTTTGAAAAATTTGTAAGTCAAGACAACTTTAAAGCTACTTCCAATTTCTAGTAAATCAAAGTCCTGCCTTTTAGACTCAACATTACATAAATAAACTGAAAATCCACAGATTTGCCACATTAATCATCAATAGATCTCATACCTTGTTGTGTCTTCATACAATGAACGCCAGTTTTGCCAAGTTTAGCACGGACGACACGATCTGTTCCAGAGAGGTAAATGTGACGTTGTCCAGCAAGAGTTACTCCGCCTGCTGTTAAAATCTCGGTTTTGTCAAATCCTTGTACTAATTTGGCAAGTTCTTCTTTTGTTACCTGCAATTAAGGAAGGAAATATAAAAATAATTAATATCATTTGACCTTCAAGGTTATACAAGATTAATCTGTTCTGATATTTCACATCATCCAAAATAATAATAACAACCGATGAGGAAAGGAAGAAGACACAAGATGTTTATATTTTCGTGTAAAATTCCTCATAAATGTTCTCATCTTAAAAATATTTTTTCACTGACGTGCCACAATCATGTGTGTAGGTAAACTTTATTGTGTCACAGGTTAGCATTGTAAACAACAAATATATATATATATATAAAAGGTGTATGCTCGTCTAGGCATAACTGTAGAGTACTTCGCGAATATATGTCAAATTTTGTGATCTTTTTTTGATGACTTTGTAAGTCATTAAACTCAAACTCGGTTTCATGAGTGACGTTAAGCCTGTGTGGCACTCTAAAATGTCACAATATATCCAATTTCAATTTCGTCATCCACGAACAACCCCAAAAAATGTGAGTGCAAAATATTTATTGAGTAATCTATTGAAAGTTATTATTTAATCAAGTGGAAACACATGCAGCACGTAAGTAAATATAGCAACGGAGAAAATAGACTTTAACGATTGAGTAAAAAAATTTAAATCAACCATTAAGACACGTCAATTTTTCATGTGCTTGCTACTGCTTGTTGATGAGATGAAAAATGAAAGAATTTAAAGCATTTCATCATTCCATGGATCTAATTGCTAAACATAGATACGTAGAGGTGTGAGGGAGAAATAGGAAACGAGTATGAGCAATTAACGAGTTTATGGACGTTTGGTTGCGCATTTAAGTGCACTTTTGGGTTTAATTGTGTATTAAAGGCGGTTCTCACATTGCTGTGACTGTTATTAGATCTTGTTTACCATCTTATGGATGAACAGGGATGAAGCTACATTACTTCGCTATGCTATTCCCTGTGTGGCTTAATTACATCATCTATCTTGCATTTATTAGTTTCTAACATAGCCTAAAGTCGATTTCGAGCCCTGAGTCTCAATAACAAGCAGTATAAATGTGATTTGACACTTAAGCACTCAGCATTTTATTAAAATTTATTGGCAATAATAAAAATTTCATACAAAAGTTCAATGTCTCATTCAAAAAAGATCTTTAAGAACACTCACAATGACGTGCTAAGTGCTCAACTATTTACATGACTATCATAATTACTAGCTCTATGGAATTTAAAGTACAGCACGTGCCAATGTACATTTTATAAGAAAATATATTGAATTTCAAGCCAGGAATTTTCCAGAGATTATTATTTGCCTATTTATATGCGACACAAGCTGTTCTGTATTCATACTGCATTTTATTACACGCTTTTATTACACGCTTTTATTTAACTCACACTGTTTGTATGTTTCATGCGTCAAATTTTGTAATCGTTATTTCGATCACTTCTCCTGCTACAATCGAACTCAAATTTTTTATGCACACTTATTCTCGGTGACAATACAATATTTTAACATTTTGGAACCACAAAAAAGTTTAATTATAGTACAATTTAAGTAAAACTTTTTTTATATCGGAAAAAATCCAATGTCAATGACATATATTTTTGATTTGTTTAAAATATTATACTTGAAATGTTCAAAAGTCATTTACATGATTTAATATAGTTTAATTAATATTATTAATTATTAATTATACTATAAATTTGAATAGCTAAAGATATTCGGTAAGACCAGTAAAAAAATTGACAAGTAATTTTTTCATAGATATTCGTAAGTGAAAATTTGAATTTTAAAAAAACCGTTAAGCGCAAGTCAGTTACGTTTTTAATACAAAATAACTATTGATATGCAAATATGCATTTAGCACACATCGTTTGAGCATAATATATATGCTTTTAATGTATTTGATTGATTCTTAACAATTGACTAACATTTAATGAAATTCACTTTCTTTTTATCAACGGCTTGACGTAGTTTTGCATAACATATAAATGAAATTCATTAAAATTAAATTTGAAAAATCCGTTATAAATACTTTAGTATTAAGTAGAAATGGTACGAATAAACACCAAATCTTTATGATTGATTTTTAATGTACTTTACTAATTGATGTTCAGGACACTTTTAAGAGTTTAATGTGTTTCCAAGTATGAATTAAATTATATAAAACGAATGAAAAATTTTGATAGTCTTTACTAATTACCCATTAAAAACTGGTATTCAATAAATAGTTGAACGAAACGGAGTGAAACTAAGTGAAGTTTAGAATTTTGAAAGTTGAATCGATTTGGAGATTTTAAAGACTAAAAAGTAGAAAATAAAATACTTTAAAAAAAACTTTTTTTAAAAAAGCACGCTTTTATTTCCGATTACAGAGCACTAAAAAGAAGAAAATAATTTTTTTTGCTAAGCTCTCAAATTTGATACAAAATTTTATGACTCAAAATAAAAGCGTGGGGCGCTCTTATAAATATCACTTAATCTTGAATTTGTATGTTTACATAAGCGTTAGGTCTTCAATGTTTATAGGTTTGTCTAAGGAGAATGATGAGCCCATACAAATTATGGTAAATCTGAGACGGTAGACATGATCTTTATGAGATTAATGTAGAGTTTTCTGTGTGACACTAGAGATCAAGTCTTACTCTCCTGCTAAATCTAACTAGTTCCTTTATGTCAAAAAATAATTTGAGATCAAAACTTTAAAAGGCCTTTCGTTTTAATACAAAAGTTGAATTAAGAAATGGATAATTAAACTGAATTCAAATAAATTTTGGAAAATCTAGAGCTAGTTTATATTTAACGCCCCACGCTTTTATTTTGAGTCATAAAATTTTGTATCAAATTTGAGAGCTTAGCAAAAAAAATTATTTTCTTCTTTTTAGTGCTCTGTAATCGGAAATAAAAGCGTGCTTTTTTAAAAAAAGTTTTTTTAATATTATTTCCACAACTTGTAATTGATGCGTCACACATTATAGAGCAATAAGACGATAAGACAAAAGCACAACTAAGAACTCTTTCGTTTCAAACAGAATATTTATTCAGCATCATTTGTCTATGCCGTTTTTATAAGTAGCATGTGTGTGAAGACAGTCGTAGATAATCATTACACTGTATATTTTAAAAATAGCATGCCACACGTTATTTGAAGATGAAAATGTAAAAATAAGTGTGAATTTTACTTTTTTTCTTCTATTTCTATTTCTTCTCTCGTTTCATAAGACTCTGAATATGTTCTCAGAACGAATTTCCCATACTTTTTAGTCTTAATTTAATTTAAATAGTTTCGCTCTCGCATTTGTTTAATGTAATTCGATTAGCTTATGAAAGAAATGTATGCAATTTGTAAGCAATTTTGAACAAATAAAGTGGATTGCATAATTAATACAAGCAGTGATATAAAGTGATTCTTTCTGCTTTATTTTGTATCTTTCTCTTTTGCACGCTGACTGCCTTTTCAGATCATTATAGCTTGCTTTCAATTCTTTTGCAGTTCATTTCATTTCAGTTCAGAAATTAGGAACTTTGAATTCTACAAAATCGTTGAAATTTGAATTCCAAAAACAGTAAAGATTTGAATTCTACAAAACCGCTGAAATTTGAATTCTCCAAAACCATAAAATTTGAATTCTCCAAAACCGTTAAGATTTAAATTTTAGAAAACCGTTACAAATGTATATCAACCACAAATTTATGAAGACACTTTTACATTGTTCAGCTCATTTACAAGAGCATTGAAAATGAGAAATATGCAAGTATGTGCACTACAAATGCATAAATAAATGAAGAAAAAATAAAAACAAAAATAAGATTAATTTGCAACATGAACAAAATGCAAATTCAGTTCCCATGTTTGTAACGTAACAATATCTTTGTTGTACATTTTTAGTCTGTGTGCGCATAACAAAGTATGGGGTAATTCCATGAGTAATTAGAACTGTGAAAAAGCACTATACAATATTTCTCTACTTGTAAAAATTCAAATTTCCCAAAACCGTTATAATTTCTTAACGATTTGTTGTTTTTACAAGTGAATTAGCCGCAATATCATCAAAGAGAGATGGTACAAATATATATGATTTTTAATGTTTTGAAACTTTAGTTACTTGCTCCATTAAATCAAATAAATCTAATAAACTTACAAGTAAAATCAAGAAAGTCTAACGGTTTTTGTGAATTTGAAATTTTTTCAGTGTTCTGTTTTGCAATAATCGGTCAAAAATTGACCGATTAATGCTAGTTTTTTTGGTTTTTCTTCTTAATTACAGCATTAAGGAATGCAAATTATACATAAAACAAAAGCCTGGCTAATATCTAATATGTTTAAAGTAACTTTGGAACAAAGAAGTGTGTATTTAAGTAAATATTAGGAAATGTTTAGAAAACGATTTTTCAAAAACTTGACCGATTAATTTTACTTTTTTTAAAAAAATAAAAATTAGACATATTTCTGATGTGAAATTCTCACATATGGAGATAAATATTGTGTTAATAAACATAATAAAGTTACAATTTGGAGTACAAAGTTCTTAGTTAAGGAAATATTTTTGAAAAATTGGTGCAACAAAATTTTTTTCACTCATGGAATTACCCTATGGAAAGTCGAGAAATTATCAGCAGTAAGTGAAAACATGTGTCTGATATTTAAGATACAAATTTATCAAATATCATGAGAATTGTGTCTTCACAGCAGCCCAGCAAACTGAATTTAATTCTTTTTAATAAATAATGCATGCAGCAGGATAAGCTAATGAGTGAAATATGAGGCTGTCATTACTCATTACCGAAATGAGGCATGATTCGGATGATTTCATCGACGTGCAGGCTTACACGATTAAGTAATGATCATAACAATACTGGCTGGCTAGCTTAAATGCTTCCAGTAGTGCAAAATACCGAAACTAATGTACTCGAATATTCTAACGGAATCAAAGAAATAGAAATAATTTTTTTTTCAATTCCACGTTTGTTACAAATTAGCAATAAATAATAACTTGCCATGATTGAGTTATAAGTAAGAGAAAAAACGGAGAAATGGCAAAGTTAAATCTTTCTTATCGTCATTGTACGATTATTTATTTAATCTGACATCTGTGAAGATTGGATCGACACAATTTTATAACCAAATAAAGACATGACGATTCCGAGTCATGTATGCATGTATGTAAAGTTGAATGTGTCTGTAGGTGGAATAATAGAGCGAAGTTCTCCCTTTAATTTCACGTTTATTGACGGTTCAATAAGCCAATCAACTTGAATCATTTTCGCTAAGGTTAAAGATCTGCACAGAATTGAACTAAAACATGAGTTTGCAAGAAACGGTAAAATTTGAATTTTTGAGAAGTTGGAATTCAAACCTTACAAAACCGTTCAATTTTAAATCCTCATAAACCGTTAAAATTCAAATTTTACAAAACCGTTAAAAATTACTTAGAAATTATTCAATTTTAATTAAGTGCGTTGAAAGAGTAAAGTATAAATATGCAAAAATATCCACATGATCACACAATTTTGAATATGAAGCATATGGTTGCTATTGGAATGAAAAAAGACATTAAATACTGAAACTATAAAATTAATTCATTTGCGTCGTCAAACATATAAAGAGGCATTGTTACTCAAATTAATCAGACAAATTCGTTTTATGAAGTCGTAGGAAAGTTTAAGAAACGTAATAAAAAGACAATTTGAATGCTGAATTTTGTAGAAATTGACACATTTTAGCAATAACTGGAAATAACTGACAATCCTTCATCAAAATTTAAAGTTTTATCCAATTAAGACGAAAATATTAAATGAATCAACATTTTAGCATGTGAATCGCCGTTCCAGTTCAATGAACTTTGTGGTAATATCAGTGCGAACGTCCATCAAACCCATTTCATTCACTTCTTTTCTTTTTTTGTTAATCAAATTAATTTACGTACACACAAATCTGTAACAAGCCGCTGACTTTACGGACTCTCTCGTGATTCAAAGAATCACCCGCACACGCAATTTAGAAGATGTGCATTGTTGAGCGCTATATAAATAAAAAAGTATAATATCCGTTAATTGAAATGCATTGGCCTTGACATTAACGCTATTATGCCTCTCTGTGTTTTATTATTTTTTCTTACTTTCCATTACGATCCGACAGATGTAGTGGATCTGGCAACATTGTGAGAAAGACGGGAATATACAATTGAATAATTTCATATGTTGTGCATATGTGTTTTCTTTTCATTTATAAATAAATATATCCAATGCATATATATGCATGCTTGAAAGATTATATCTCCATGAAGGAGAATTTTAGAACTCGTGTAGATTGTGCTTAATTGGTTGGTAGCTAAAGCGCAATTTTTGGGCTGTAGATTTAACATATTTGAACAAATAACGGTTAAAAAAATTTGAAATTGTTAAAAACCTAGCTCTGAGCAGACCAAATCTAATTTTAAAAAATTAACTGCCATTTTCCGAGAAGTATGATTATAATTTTTTTTTTATTAAGTTAATTCATTATAATATATTAGCATTTCTGCTTTTTTATACTTAATTAAAAACGAATCAGAAAAAATTGCAGTACATAGAAGGAAGAAGCAAGATATTTAATACATGTGAGGATAGACGATAGATATGTAGTATTATTCCACTGATCATATCGCTAATAAGCAACTCAAGGTCAAGTGCTTGGTTAGCTCATCTGATATTTTCATTCTATAATTAATTTTATACTTTCGATTTGTCACAACATTAGACGTGAGTAAAGAGAAATAAATATGAAAGGATAAATGTTGCTGCTTGAAAGACGTGCTTATTCAACATATTTTCAACATGACTCCTTCCCTTCACATTTAACGAGTCTATAATGTACAATTTTTATGAAGGACCCACTTGATGATTTTTTACATCTTTTGTATTATTATTATAAGTTATACTTTGTTAGAATGTTCATTCTCAGCAAGTAAATGAGTCATCGTGACTCGAGTAGCTAATGTGCAGTTTACAAACTGTTTTTAAATTATTTATAGCAACAAAGAGAAATATATCCAACAATGTACTACCCATCAATGTCGTAGCTAGTCAACCTGTCAATAATCGAACCATAAATGCACTTTTTCTCACAGAAGTGTCTCTGTACATTACCAATCGCATAAATGACTTCATTCCAACGGTTTTTTATGATTGATTCACTTTCATTCGCGTTTTATTTTTTACTTTCTGCATAGTCACTTTGAGTGATTGCATAAAAAGTAGTAATCCAATGTCTTCGACACAACAAGTTTTTAGAAAGTCTTAGATCTTTTATGAATTATTCGTGATATTTATTTTGAAATCGTGATTTTTTTTGTGTATGAATTAATTTTTGAGTTTTGTTAATTGAAATTTGCTTCATGTCATTTAGGTTTAATAATCTCCAGTACATGTTCATGTCATTTCAGTGCAAACAAATTTTGAAATCTACAAAAACCGACGAAATTTGAGTTTTACAAAACCGTTAATTTTTGAATTTAAAAAAAAAACCGATCGAATTCTACAAAAACCGATAAAATTTGAATTTTTAAAGTCCGTTCAAAGGAAACAAGAAATTTTATAGAGCACAAAAGCCTTGAGTCACCATTTTCTAATGAAGCAATTAATGCTGCAGCAAATGAAGCCGAGAAAAAGTAGAAATTGCAATTCTGAGAATTATAACTGGACTATTTACTAGCATATATTTCAAATGGACAAAAAAATGTAATTTCTTTCATGGATCAAGGCTTTCTAAACTAAATGTTTAATAACAACTATTTCCACTTTCCAAAGCAGACATAAAAAAAAATCCAGCACAATGATATAAAGTTTCATGTGTTGCTCTCTTATTGTATATTAAGTGCAATTGAATTTCACCTTTTTCTCATATTCTACACCCGAATTATGACTTTATGAGTCAACACAGTAGCTTAAATTACGATAATTGTATACATTCAACATGAAAAGCGGAAAAAGAAGAAGACATTAATGAAGTCCCATTCATGCGTAAATAGCTTCTCAAATGTCATTGAAAATACTTTTTTATCACACATTATAAGCGCCACAAGAATAAGGTATACAATAAAAGGGGATAGGATTGGTAAGGATGAATAATGAGTTTAAGATAAAGCATCATCATTCAATGGCAATGAATAATGTATAAAGAGTGACTCATCGCAAGTTTAGACAGAAATTTTAAATGTGTCACAGTTCCATCGCGTGTAAATTTCATTTCTGTTTATGTAAAATATGTCCATCCCCATTATAATGATTGTTATTCACCCGAAAGAAAAATAAGAACAAGAAGGAATGTATCGCGTGCTAAAAATAAAGGGTTCTATTCGGAAAAATGAATGAAAAATTTTTGCAGTAAAATTCCATAATTTATGTCGATTCATGGTTCACCTTTTTAGTGGCGATTTCTCTAAAAGAGGAATGAGTTTGTACATGCTTTTGTTTGCTGTCTGTCTACCCTTCTTTCGATTGACCGTTATTTACAATTTTAAAATTTATGCTTCAAAATAACAATTCAAATAATTTTTGTCAGTTAAAATTCAAATATTTTTGGACCGTTAAATTTTAAGCACATATATTATGCGTTCTATTCAGTTACAAATGACTTTGTTTCAATTTTACAAATTTTCAATATTTTTAAGACTAGCCTCGTTCAGAGTAAGTGAGAGAGAAATGGGTGCTAATGAAGGTAAACGTCTACCGGTTTTTTTCACTTCACTTTCAAGTTGGATGGACTGACTTACAAAAAAAATAAATATACGACGACGACCACATAATTCAGATATGTGAATCACATATGTGTAGGTTGGATGCAGTCCAGAATAATCAGTCGACAATAGCAGAAAAAGACGTGCCAATGAACTTTTTCGTGTGTCTCTCTCAAACTGAAGATGCGCATTTGCAAAATAGTTTTTGCTTGCTGCTGTTTTTTTTCGGTTCAGTACATACTCTACGTACAGTTCGGAACAATTCATTAATGATTTTTTTTTTCGCAAGACGAAACGAACGAATCACAGTCATTACAATCATCATCATGGTCATTGAAATCAAAATTTTTGCCGGCCGCAAAAGATAATCATCTATTCATTTCAGAAATGTGCTTAACTAGCTTAAAAGAAGGAACACAGAAATTGACGTTTTGCGAAAATCACATTTTTTTTAATGCGAAAAAATGTTGAAAAGAAGACTTCGATATTTCTCCTCTTTCTTTCTTATTTCACATGTATACATACTATATATATTCGCTCAATACTCATTTTATCCAACGCACACAACGAAACACAAATTTTACGTCCACAGCAGTCAGATTTTATACTTCTTTTTTTGAGACGCCATCTTGAACCGGCAGAATTTCAACATTACACAAATTTGCGACATGTTTAAAGATGTTGGATCTATTTTAATTAACTATTCTCATTATTCTAATATGATATTAATGATTCATGGATGATTTGATCAAGTATAGTGACTCGTAAGCTGAATTTAGGACATTTATAAGACGTGTCGCCAAACAGTACATAAAGAAATTAATTATACAGAGACAAATGCTGCAGATGTACATAAAATTGCACATAATTCTGATTCTTTGGCATCTTTTTATGAGTTTTGCATTATTTTTGCAGCTTTATCGTGGCTGGATTATTGAAAAAATTGACACACCCAAAAGTGAACAATAAAACGTGGTGATAGAAAATCCATTTATAGTCTTTATAGAGCATAAGAATTACATTTAAGTGACTTTTATGCATTGCTTATTATGGATGAATAATGGAGCATTTAAAATATCAAGATCCAGACAGTAAAAAGATAATAAATTTTCGAATTTTCTCGACTGCAATTTTTTTTTTCAACACTTACATCAAAGCCTTCAGATTTTGCCCAAACTCCTCCATCATGTCCAGCGATACAGGCTTTAGAAACGCATTGTGATGCTATTAATTGATTATCTACATAATCTTGCCAACTCATTTTTGCTTGATTTTTTTTTGTTGCTTAAATTCCTTGATTAATATGAAATATATATTCCTTTATGTGCTTTCTTGTAACAAGCTTGATTCTCTTTATTGTAACGAATTTATTCCTTAATTTTTAATCCTCTCGTTTTGGATCCAAAAAACTTTGTTTTCTTTATTTATTTTAACACTTTTTTGTGTTTTTTCTATTACACTCGCGTTAACCCGTCAAAAAAAGGGAAAACTTGGAAAAATGGCACAATCCAACTACTTCTTCTTGGAGATTTAAAAAAATTAGGAAGTAAGTATCTCTTCGCTTGCTCGCTCACAGAAAACTAATAAAAATAGCAAAAAATGTTCACAAAATATCATTGAATTTTGAGGGGAGTGCAACTAAGCAATTGTTTATTGCACTATGCGCTTGTGTCTTAACTTTGCCTATATGTCCATGCCGTTTTCCTTTAATTTATTTATTTTTTCTTTGATTTCGAAATCTGTTTTAGAAAATAATGACTTAGCTACTGTAATTGCTTCGATTTGTCAGTGACTTTACTCGTGAAATGAAATCTGTGTGAAAAAATAGCACGAATTTAATGCTTCTTAGTAACGGAATCATGAAATAACTTTCGTACTTGAATTGCTCAGATTCAAATATAAAAACTGGCGTTAGAATTAAACATTTTTGTTTTAGTTCAATATTTTGCATAATTCGCTAATTTAAAGACTAATCATCAGCTGCATTGTCTCATAGAGGACCATTCAAACATGTTTGCATACAACAGACCCTGAAATCCTTGAGAATTCAGCTAGATATCCAAATTTTAACCGATTGAACCGATTTATTAACCGATAATGACGTCACTCAAATTATGACAATGCCTCATTATTCATGCAGTAATTCATGCATCCAGCTATCATAAGTCATTTTTAATCATTCAATACATTAATCACAGCATGTTCCATTCATCAAACCCACGATTCCTTTATTCACAGCTTGTTCTGCTTAAATTGTGAAGACACAGACTTTCAAAATATTCTGTAACGTCTTTTTACAATCGATGAATCACATTTTCTTTATTTTAAGACACACTGTAATAGTTTACAGGGAAATACAATGAAAAATGCATTTGTGACTAATCGAAATTTGTTGTTTTTTGTTTTCTTTATTTTTTTTTTCATCTTATGTATCGAAAATATAATGAAATTAACTCATAGCTTAAATTAGGTCTAAGCGTGTTTATTAATTATAATAAAAATAATTAAACGTGCAAAGTAAATTTTACGGCTTGATACTTTATAATATGTTGAATTCAGAAAATTAAGAAATTTATACAAAAAATTAATAACAATGAAAGAAGAGTAAAAAGTTTCATTTGAGGCTACAAAAATATAAATTTAAAAAAAGTTTGAGGAAAAGTGAGCTTCTTCCTTAGATCTTCAGCAACTCTATTGTTTCACTAGTATAATTTCACTATCAGAAGTTATAGGCAAACAATTCATAATGCTGCTAAAACACTTTCCATTCTCTGAAATGTCTTTTTTCGGCGATGCTGCCTGAATATCAGCTAAATTTGACGTATCCTTATTTTCATTAGAATCTATCTCAATTTCATCAGTTGCCGTTGATAAGCACGAGAGGTCAGAGCTTGACTTTGTAACAGGTTCTGGAGTATCTACAGACATGGAACTAACGACTTCCTCACTTGTTGCTACTTCTGCAATTTTTGTTAATTCTTTATTATCGTCGCAATCCTGTGAACCGAAAAAATCATAAAATTTTATTAGTCTCGAGTGTGTGACACTTAATATTGTCTAGGAATAAAATCTAAAGGATCAAAAAAGGAACATTCTATGACAAAAACGTGGTTAAAAAGATAAATTTAAATTTTCAAAAATAACGAATTATTTTTGTCGGGTTAAAAATGTTAACAAGAAAACGACAAATCACAAAAATATGTGAAAAATCTACAACAGGAACATTAAAAAAGCGTCCATAACTCTACATTCTTGAGGAAGGAAAAAAATTCATGTCATGAATCCAAAAAAGTTCAATTTTGAGGGTACAAAAAGTCGTGACTGGATAAAAATTTCTCAGTTAAAAAATATGAAAGCTTAAAGTCATTTTAGCTGTAGATACTTATCAGGTTTTACATTAATCCTGTCTTGTATTTTATCTATACTGTTTTTTGAGTCTAAAATAAATTTTTTACTCATTAGAAAAAAAGGTGAAAATTAACAAAGTTGCGAAAAAAAAAACAGTTGAACATTAACAGATCTAGATAACGTTTTGCATGACAATCAAAATTAATTAAAGTCATTGCATTTAGAAAGCGAATGACTCAAGTACACTTTCGCATGAGAGGAATCAAAATCAATTTCAAGTAGATTTTTAAATTTGAAATTTTTAAACAACCAACTCTTAAACTTTGTTCCAAAATTAAGCCTCAAGTTACTACAAATAAAATCTATGACACCAAAAATAATTTCTATCTAGCCAATAATCTTGCAAAAATGTACTTCTGAAGATAAGACAGAGAACTGAACTAGTTAAAAATGATAGAAGTAACAACAACAACAATTAGTACATTAAATTATCGAACATTATTGATGATCAAGCTTCAAAAAGAAAAAAAGTTCTAAAGTTTAACTCGAATTTAATGATAAAAGATAATTACACAGAGAATTATATTGAGCTTGATATGTAACGAATATAAATTTATTTTTCATATTTTTCTATCAAAAATTATTGGTAGTTTGGAGACAGTAAAATCGGTATAATCTGCAAACATCTAGCCTAGAATTTGCAATAAAAGAACACATAAAAAAGGAAGAGACAATCAGTTTCGATTGAATGGTTATTTACATCATCTAATTCATTAAAATCATTAGTTTCATAAAAATCATTTTATATCCAAACACTGTGTCTATGGCTCAAACTAGCTAGCTGCAGCTATTGAATCCACTAGGATCAATTAAATCATATCTTTATAGTTTTACTCTCTGAAATTTTTGATTAATCTGTGATTTATGTTCATAAATCGAACATCTTTCGGGACTTACTAAAATGTGCAGCACGTAATTGCCAATAAGCTAGTTTGATAACTCGGCAAAAATCCTCAAATTTGATGGAAGAAAAGTAGTAGGGAGGAGGATAGAGTTTAATATATTTTTTTCCAATAATTTGCAAAATTATAAGTTCAGAATTGGTTTTATGTCTCAAGATACTTATCGCATATATAGTTAAAGAATGAATCAATCAAGATGTAAACATTAAACACGTTATGCTAGATTGGTCATCTAGACTGTACTATTTACCTTATGAATTGTTGTCGGTGGTACTTTCAAATGCATTCGTTTCCAACACAGAGTTCTCAATAATGCAATTCCGCTATCGCGTTTCTTGCTATATCGATGTTCCCACGCATCTATAAGATGATTATAATATCTCGGCTGATCGGTGAAATTCAAGTATTTGTAGCTATTTGGTGCTGGGAAAATTCTCTCAAGTGGATGGCAGCGGTTTAATTCATCTTCGGTTAATATGAGACAACGCAAGTCATCTGGTGTTAAATTTTCTAAAATTGTTGGCAAGTACTGAAAAGAATGCGACAATTTAATGCTTCGTGCCGTGAACTACAATTATTTTCATTCATAAAACTCACATCCTCTCTTTGTATTGTCTTTTGTGTAAAGTGATGGTGCTTTTGTCTTTCGTCTTTGGAAAGCGTTGTCACATAAATTCTCTTATCATAACAAAGTGGCATTTTCACGTTGAGTTCTCGCGATAAATCACTTTGTGTTGCTACTGGGATCTTTGGTGGAATCTATAAAAATATTTAACGGTTTTAAAATATTCAAAATAAGCATATTATTTAAATCAGAAAAGTTCGTTAAATCTTACCTGATACATAGCAGTATTTAATAAAGCAGTCACTAAAGGTCCTTTCACAGCCATATCAAGTCCAGATGAAGAATGAAGCGACGGCGAAATGTTAACTTCTAATAACCAAGGAACCAACTCAGAATCAAGGAGAACATCAATACCAAATAATTCAAAGGCATTATATTTGTTCTGAAGATTTGTTTTCATCATACTATTAATTGGACCTTCACCAGCCAATATTGTACGTAAAACAAGATTTCTTAATGCTCCCCACAACCGTTCCGTGTTAATTCCTCTTTGTTGAAGGTACGACCAAAGAGATTTTATTGTCCATTTCATACCTTTGCATGCATTTGCATCATCATTTTTATCATAGCTTGTAGATAGCTTATTTATGGAATAATTTGTCAAATGCATATAGCGATCATTGAGCGTTTCAGTTCTCTCGCTATATTTAACTGATGCAAAGCGTGCTAATCCATCCGTATGCATATAAACGCGTAATGGATTTAATGATGTCACGAGTACATATAATCTTAAATCAAATTTACTTCCATTTATCAATAATGGACGTTCAATATATCTACAAAAATGCACAAGAAGAAGCGACGATGGAGAATTAAAAAAATGAAGAAATGAAATAATAATGAAAAAGTTACCGTTGTACAATTAAAGGTTTTCGTTTTGGTATTTGCGACCAACTATTCACGACACGAATGCCAGTTCCTCGCGCTGATGCTGGTGGTTTAATAATCCATTTTGTATTTTTTTGACTATATTTGTGCCATGTTTGTCTTAACATATTAAGATCTTGAGGAATGATAAAAGTCCGTGGCATAAATCCAAATTCTTTCTTCCCATGACGTGACATGAGCGTTTGTAAGTTCCTCCAACAACGATCTTTGCGTCCAATTTGAAAACTTCCAGGCAAGTGATTAAATTTCTGATATGAATGTAAAGTCTTAAAGCATGGCGATTTCATATGCTTTCCCCACGTTCCAACCCAATCGTTTGGTTCTGAAAGAGATTCATATTTTTCATCTGTAGATTTATCCATATCCGGAGCTATAGATTTATCATTTATGCATGTATATAAACATATGATGTTGATATCCAATTATTAAATAATTTATGCACATAATCGCGATATTCATTCAATTTGCAACGAGTTTGTAGAGAGAAAGAAATAATAAAGAAATTTTATGATAAAAAAATTGAAAAAAGAAACAATAAAAATCATAAAAAAACGACATAATACAAATTTGCTGTCGCACACAGTCTGTGCTGGGCGATAAAAGCGCAACTCTAACATAAACATTTAAAAAAACAAAAGTTGCCTCAAAATTGTACATTGACAACCACTATCGTGTCAATTTAAAAATAGATCATCAATATCAAGGGTGTTTGCAAGGTAAAACAAAAGTAGTGTGCTGCATACGACTCTTGCATTGAGACAATTTCTGATCTTCTCGTCATTAATGTTTTCGATCAGATGACTCAATAACAGTACATTTATAGATGTCCTTGAAATTTTATCGGCTTCTAAGTATTCTATTGCATAAGCTAGATAGCAAAATAAACAGCTACTTTTAAAACGACTGCGTAATAAATGTCGCTGAGGCTTGTTATTTTACGTCTCTCATTTATGTGAATCTACACATCGCAACTTTAATGGGTGATGGAGATTAAGTTTATTGCGTATTTTCAGAGACTTCATTTGTTCTGTGAGTAAATCATCAAATACACTCTGTAAACATTGGATTCATTCGCAAGTTACGTTCGAAAACTTTTTATATAAGCATTTTTCATGAGAGCTAGTGCATCTCTGGAACTTCAGTATGATTCTGGGGTGCACCCAATACATGAACGATCCTTTTGTTGTTATATAAATGATCGCTAATCACACTTAGAGGTTAAGGATGTCCAAAAAGGCTTATTATTAATAGACGTCATTCAGAAACGACGCCTTAACAGCAGTGGATTAATTTCGAGTATGAAAATGCGCCAACAAAAAGAAATCAAAAGAAAACAAGAAAGTAAAAAGATGTGAATGAAAATGAGAGGAATTAATTCAAGAACATGCGTTATGTTATCAACATCAATAGCTTATACACAGAATAAAAAAAAACTTAATAAGAAATAAAAATTGCTTACTTTTCATTAATCGAAAGCCTGTGTTAAGGAGGACTTTTCGCACTAATAATGGCGTGATGGTTGTTAACTTCCACTTTAATATTTTATGTATGGCAGGTGGTAGGTCTGGTCCCTTTTCTTCAAATGATGCAAAAGTAATGAATGGAGGTACATATGGAAAGAGTGATGCAGCAAATGGCTCCTGTAAGACACGACCACCTTGAACACATTCGGTATTTATTGCAGTCGGAGTTTTTGCATTGTTAATGGCTGAGGAACGATCCGAGCTACTAACTGACAGCGATGACTCGTAATTATCTTCTGGATCCGTCATATCTTCATCAATAAGTTGATTACCTGGCGCATATAAAATTGGTGGATCTTCGTCATCCTCATCATCCTCAATCTCGTCAACGTCTTGTTGTGGCGATTCAACATCTCCGTTTGAAGTCGATTCTGTTGAGTGAACAGACGAACTTCCAGAATTTTGTTGATTCTTCCACATTTGTAAGCGAGCTTTGTGTAAAGGAGATGAGACGCGAATTAAACCACTCTTATGGCTAATGTGATGGCTACGAATTTTCGATTTAGGTGAATAACGGTAGTGACTTGAGTTATTTACTAAAACACTAAAATTACTTTTTGGATTAGTCACATTACGTTGCGATGATGAGCGTTTTTCTTTAAGAATTTCGCGAGTTCTTTTCACCCGAACATCCTGTAAATCATCACAATACACTTCACGATAATAATAGTCCTGAGATGCTGACTCGCTACGTGCCCTTAATCGACGACGTTCATTCCAGGCTAAATATCCCATCTCATCATTGGCATCGACTGTTTCTATATGAACACTTTTTCCATCAACTAATAAATTATCAAAACGATATTTGTAGCCATTAATCCCTTGTATATCATGATCATGTTGCTGCTGTTGATGTTGCCGGTGCTTACTCGTCTGATGTTGCGGAATATAGTCATAATTATTTGATTGACGATCATGCTCAATCTGTCGATGAACTGGCCACATATTCTGATAATATCCATTATTAATTTGGTTATTTCTTGGACTACTGCTATATCGTTCATGATACTGAGGACTTCTGACAGGTGATAAACACTCGCTTCGACATCTTCGTCTCATTCTCACAGAGGTGGGCGAACGATGTGAATAATGGCGATTTGTGAAGATATTTTGCATGTTCTTGTGCTGACTACTGCTATTATTATAATCGTATACGCTCATATGCTGCTGTTGCTGCTGCTGCTGATAATGTTCTTTCGGTATGGAGTTAATATGATGGAGCATTGATTCATTATTGTACGGAGAACGATAAATATTTTCCGAATAATTACCATTATTAGGCGGGGGTGATTTGTGCTTAAAATCCATACGAGAGAATTGATTTGTAATCTAAAAATAACAAGATAGAGGAAATTATTAGCACAAAAAATATTTATTGGGTATTGAGAGATGTTCTGTGAAATTTTTTAAATCAAAATTAAAACGATGATTAAACGCTATTAATATCTGCTTGTTCCAGTTGAGAAATCACAGCAATACTTCATGCTGTTTTCCAATTACTTTATTAATCATTCTGCTTTTTATTTTCGTCTTTGCTCATCCGGATTAAGCATTATTGGAGGCAATTGATTAATTCTATGGAGTAGGAACAACTGCAAGGAGTTAAAAATCTTGCGGAAGTAGCTTAGATGCTAAATTTACGCAACGTGGAATATGAAATGCGCCTTCGTGACTCACGATTGACCGAATTTTGCTGCGTTCATAAAAATAATGTAAAAGCTCTCATTTTTGGAGCCAAAACATAAAATTTCATGACTATTTTAATGAGACGCAAAAAAAGATATTTAAAACAGTTGCATTTAATACAGTTTGTACAATTTAATTGAGCACATAAATTACAAAGAAACATTTTAATCGTCAGAACGCAGACGATGTCGACGACAAAAAAGAATCGCATGTGGCACACGAATAAGTAGAACTCGTACATTGTATCTGCGTATGAGATAATTCAAGGTATCATTAGTCGTCAAAAACATGCGATTTATGACAAATATCCGTATGTTAAAATTCTTTCCTATCAAAATGAGATGTAGCATACGTGAGACTAGTCTCAAATCTTAAAGGAGGAAAAAATTTACTGCCTGACAAAAATATATAAAAAGTCTCTAAATTATTCTCATAAATTCCTCCAAGACACAAAAATCTCGGAGACATTTAAAAAACGTAATCATCACCTCATGTAAATTCACCATTATAATAATTTTTTAAAATAAAATCAAAATATATATTTTAAGTTGTGCCAACGCAAAGGCCACATGGCGACTAAATTATAAAGTTTCTCTCTCTCATGTTATTTTTTTTCGGCGTAGCACACACTTGTTTTCTTTTTCTCTCTCCCACGATTCTCATTATAAGCCGCTTGTTTGCTTGCTTGTAGAAAATATTACATACTGCCTCAATAGTTTAACTTTATTCACAAAAAAATAATATTGAAGGCAAAAGAAAATTAAATATTGAGAATTTACGAAGAGAACCGACCGAAATAATTTTTTTGTTATTGTATTTATTCGATTCTTCTTTCTCATTTGTGCCTGATTTGATGATGGCTCTTTTTTTCTGCTCTATACATTGTATGCGAAACGACAATTCAATCCGAGTGTTTTTAGAGCAATTCTTTTGTATAACAATGCCATAATTGCTGTTTAAAACGCTTCTCTTTTCAATTAGAGATTTGAATGTGGAAGGGGAAGATACAGATCAACTTTGTAAAATGCTATTAAAGCTAATCTATTTGAACTACTGGATGAACTTTCAGTTGAATTTAGATTTTCTGAGAAAATGCTAGTAAATCTATGATTTTAAGAACTTTTTGTAAGACGAAGATTTTTTGAATTTATTGATTATGTAAGAATTTTACTTTCAACATCGAGGAATTAGGAAAATTCAGAGGAATCAGTTGAAATCTATTCAGCAATCCAAAAAACTTCAATTGACTGTCAATATTAAAATCTCAAACTTCAAAAATCCGTTTATAATTAGTAAAGCAATTTCCTCTAGACGAGCTCATTTCAACCTTGTAGCAGACACTTTTCCCCAAAACAAATTTTCATTTATTTAATGATATCTTCATTGTCTACAAAAAATATCATTGAACAGAGTATTTATGATTTTCCGAATGTCCATCAAAACGAACAAAAAAATAATAATTTATGTCAATGTTATGAAAAATATTCATCCTGAAGTCGTTTTCAAGCTCAAAACTTTATTTTATTGTTAACAAAACAGACCGAACCTTTATTTATTATGCAAAAAAATATTAATAGAGAAGGTTGAGCATAAAATTAAAAAATTACTCATCAAAAACAGCTACAATTTCCACTATTATTGTTATTATCGCTGTGGAGCCAATTTTCATGAGCTGTCAAGAGGTCATTGAAACCAATAAAAAATCGAAAGAATAAAAGAACAGAGAACGAGAGAGCGAGAAAGGAAGAAGTGGCAGACAAATTGTGCAATAATGAATTATTATAAAATTGTTTTCATTTTTTTCGTACGGAATAAAAGTAAATTTATAAAGAATTAAGAGTTTCAAGTAGTTAGGGTTGAAATTGAGTAAACAAGTTACGAAAGATTTTTGGTGATAAGAAGTGCATGCTATCGTCACTTACGGAATCATTGACTGAAACACTTTTTGAGCTTCAGTAAATAGGTTGTTTGGCAAGTTTAATTGGATTTCGATCCGAGCAGCACAACTTAGTAGTTGTTTCTATTGTGTCTTACTAAATTAGAACTGCTTAAAAGGAACAATTTTATAGAATTTATTGAAAACCTTCACAATTCTGCTTTCTGATAATTATTCCTCAAATCAGAATCTCAGCTCAAAGATCAATCTTAATACAAATTTAAAATCACTTGCTTAGTCAGCCAAAATAAATGCAAAGCTATAAAACAATTACTTCGAGGAAAATTGCGTTTTAAAGCAAATCAAATGAATTTCCGATTTGATATTTTCCAGATGTTCACATAAACTATAGACCAAAAATACTACTAAGTAGAGAAATATTTAAAAAATTTCAAGCATTTTGTATACTTTTCATTCATTCTTCACTCCCTTAAATAATTTTCTCTTACTGCCTATACTTTTTTTTTCTTCTATTTTTGAATAATATTAGAAATCAATTTATAGACGAAGCATTTACGTTATGGTTTTTGACGTCTACATTCTTTTTTTTCTGACGAATAAATTATTAGTCAAGTTCTATGAATTTAGCAATTTTGTTTGTTTTTTTTTTGTTTCAACAACAAATTTGGGGAGGATTTTTTGGGAGGGACATTTCAATAAATTGAAATAAATTGATATTATTGTTGGATATCAGAGACATGTTTCATCCTGCAGACAGCTTGACTTTTTAAAAATAAGTTTTTAATGATTTTGAATTGTTTAACATTTGATGATTTAAAGTTATATTCTCAAAGTAAAGCAAATCTTCGAATGAATCCAATAGAATGATCAGTTCTAAAAGCGATTATTATTATTATTATTATTATTATTATTATTTGAAAAGTATAAGAAATAGATATTGATCTATTTGAAAAGGTTTAAATGGTTCGCGCCAAAAGAAAATCTTAGTCTAAAATCTGTACTCAATCGAACTGAACCCTTTTCGAATTCAAAACTCTAAAACTTACATCCTTCGAACGATTAAAAATACTTTATGCTCGCATATCTTTACAACTCGATATGCAAATTGGATTTTAAAACCATTCATCCCAATCCACTGATTTTACTTGTTTTTTTATGCAACAAAAAACTTTTTCAATTATTTCTCCTGACTACATTAATGCCAATCTCAAGTCAGACAGCTTAAAATACACATTCACAACTATTACAGCATTTTCCATTCATTGAGTTTGCACTTTAAAGAAGTTTTCGTTTACATTTACAACATTATTTTGAAATCTATGTTTCATTTTCACCACTTGTAAGACTTCAATGGTATTTATTACACGAACTTAACAACTGTGTCACGTGTTTTACAGTCACTTCCTTTACTTTTTGCTTTGCTCTTTCCAGGAAAAAAAGTCAAGTGATCTCGATTTTTCAAGGCAAAGAAAAATGGAATTTCAATGCCGAAAAAATGAAAACTGATTCTTAGAACTAGATAAATTCATTCTTACATGATCACAGCAATGACATAGTAGCATTGGCAGTTGATTTTCGTGACAATCCATCATTTATTTGTCGTTCCACATAAAAGAAACAGAGGAACTAAAAACCCTTCAACTAAAACTGTTCAGTTGCATAAAAATCTATGACATTCTCCTAAAATCACGAGATTTGAAGAATTTATGGCAAGAACTTTGCATATAAAAAAATGGATACAAAATTTCACGCTCACAGACTACAATTAAGCTACTTTAAATGAACACAAAAGAATCAAATTATTCACAATTTATGCAATCAATTAAAACTAAAATCTATTTATAATAGATTAATTATTCAATTAATTGCATTCTTATTGTAATTGCGCGGCTGTGTGTTTTAAGGTATATTGTAGTGCCTACTGATCCACGATGACTAAACTTGAAAATGAAAATGAAAAGAAAGAAAAGCGTCTCAGAAGGAAAAGAAAAAAACGGAAAAATTGTCGGGGCGAAAAGAAGAGAAATTGAAAGGAGAGGCAAAAAAAGCCGAACTCAGTGCTTTACGTTCTAGTAAACTAATTTCATAGCTATACGATTACGGTAAGAAAGAGTCGAAGAAACTTTATTTAGGTGCAATATCTGCAAAACAAATCATTTAACACATTTACTTTGTTTGTCTGATTGACTGACTGATTGAGTGCGTCTGGGGAGTTTGTGACGTTCGGAAATGAAGTTGATATTTTTAATTAAAGAATGTCTGTTGTCGGAAGTTATTTAATGACTATGCAGGCACGTTTTTCATATAATAACTACAATAAGTTTATGTTTTCTTTGTTACTAGGGGTTCAATATTGAACAATAATGGAATTTGAAAAATGAGTTGATTGTTGATGACTTTTCACTGATTTGTGACTTGCTTATACACGGAAAAACTCAAAATTGATAACAACCTGACCTAAATCAAGTATCTTAACATTAAATGATTTTAATTATGCATCAAACTTAATCATATTGCATAATTAATTCAATAACAAAGCTAATTATCCAAACTGATTATTTGCAGCACAATAATCCTGTGTCAAAAAAATAATTGGAACATTTTTTGCATGTTTGTCGAGATTTTGTACGAACATAATATTTTAATAGCACACATTATTAATAATTAATAATTCAAATACAAAACGCCACAAAGCTACCACAACGAGCATTCAACTTGTTTGCTTGTCTAAAAAAATTAAGTCGATAAGTATGTGGAAGTGCTAAAAAATATTGGAAATAATGTGCGCAAGTAAGCTGAACTGGAACATTTTCCAACTTAAAATAATGCAGTAGAAATGCTTAATTTTGTAGGCACAAATAAAACTCATGTTCTTGTTATCTATTCTGATGAGAAAATTTACAACAGAACTAGCTTTGCTCCCATTCCTGACCTACCCCAAGTCGCATGGCGTTCTTTGAACTCGGCCTATAAATACATATGCAGTTTTCATTTGAGCATGCATGCACACACATAGATATGATTTTAGGAAAATTTTCGCTCTATTTCTTTTTTCCTTCCTGTTTAGTATTTTTTGCTGTCTAAATCATTTAACAGGAAGAATGGAAATTTTATGAACAAAATAAAATGAAATCGATTGAAAATCATCATCCGTAGAAGCTATTGTGGAAGGGTTAATTCAATACTGCATTGAATAAAGCCTTATAGACAAAGCAAATTGCTGTCTCATAAATCATCCGTCTATTGGTGATGAAAAAGCAAATTTTTTTCGTTGTGTACTGAATCATTCACAATTTACGATGTCCTTCTTCTTAACCTACATTGCAGTATCGAAGTGAGAAACAACAGCAAACAGTTTGATGATGCGCGAATTTAAATTCATGATAAACTTAATACTCGTCATATGAATTGTTGAAAGATTTTAATTTAAAAGTCATAAAAAGGAGAAAAATATTTGTATAAACTGTCACAGCAAGTTACGCTCAGGAATGCCACTTTTTTCATGCTTGTGATATCTTACTGACATATTAAATTAATTTTAATGTGAATGAAAGAATTCTACGGGGCGGGAAATAATCGGTTGTCATTTGTTTTTGGGTTCATTAAGCGCATTTAAGCTACTATTGAGATTTTGTTAATTAATAAGCTGATTTGAAAGGTATTGATGATTTATAACGGGTTTGTAGAATAAGAATTTCATAGTTTCACACCCCGAAATCTTTAATTTTCATAGTTTTACACCCCAAAATTTAAATTTATTTCATAGTTTAACACCCTTAATTTTTTTCATAGTTTAACACCCTTAACTTTTTAAGGGTTTTTCAATTAAAATTTAACCAAAAACTCCAAGACAATAATTTTCAATACTTATATAATGTTAAACATTTCTTCTCCACCCAGCCATCCAGTCAAAGAAATAATCAAAGCTCAAACATCCACAAAGATATCAAGTTTAAAAATATTTTCATCCTCACATGATACTCGCTATCCAAGACGATCTCAACGATATGACACTTTTTATATCGCTTCATGTCTATATATAAATTTTTCTTCTCTTTTTTCACCTTTTGATAATATAACAGACTAAGTATTTTTTTTTGTGACTCTCAAACTTCTTTATTGTCTTTTTTTCACGTTCTACTTTGTGACTATTTTTTAAGGATAAAAGCTTCTCGTCTCCTCGACATTCAATGAAGGAATTTTTTTTCTATTATCACAATATATCTTTCACAAAACAGCAGCTCCACTCATGTAACAAAGAATAAGATAGAAGGAAAAAAAATGTCATAATGAGCACAAAAGCCAAATGAGATGAAAAGAATAAAAAAGCTATTTTTCATTCCATTATGCTCCCTTTATTTTTCAATGAGATAACAGCAAGAGCTTTAATTTTTTAGGTGTTCACTGTGCGAAGTTTTAATGAAAACTGAAGAGTGAAAAGGAACAAGAAAAATTGTGAAAATAGCACACAAAAAAATAATGCGAAAAGCATAAAAAAGGCTTGTCGTCGCTCACAAGTGGGTGCATTTATAAAAAGTACTTGTTAAGCATGAGTTTGAGCTATTTTCCAAATTTTATATAAGGTTGTGAGAGAGGGTCAAAAGTGTTTGTAGGAATTTTAATTCCTTGTGGATATTTTGAATGAATTTTCTGCTTGTTTTGTTGATGCTTTGGATGCAATTTGTAAAGATAAGATTGTAGCTAGGTTAAGTTCGGTTTAATGCCTTTGTTGCATAATTTTCTTCGGCTTGTCATGTTTTTCGAGATTTAATTTGATTCTGAAGAATTGACTTAATGGTTTAATACAAAGACAATCATTTTGATCAGTTCTGCAGCCTTGATTAAATTCAAAATATCTCACAACAACTCAAATCTAATCATGTTCATCAACAAAAAGTTCTAATCAAATAAATCGAGTCACGTTTGTATTTTTAGTTCCTACAAAAACGTCACGGATTTAAGCGATCGTAGACTGGTAGTGCGATTACTCAACTTGAAGTGCGCAACCTTGAAATCATGCAAACTGATAATAATCATGCAGTGCATCGATTTCCTATGTAAATAAACTCAATATTTGTGTCAATCATTCTGTTCTATTTATGTCTTGGATATGACCACAAATCATAAGTTTCTGGACTGAATTAGCACAAGGAATTGAAATTCTATTTCAGCTCTGAATTCAATTAAAAATTCTTCACAGTTTTCTCCTTCAAAAGAGCATAAATAATATTTTCACCCTTCACTTCGATCATATCCTATCACCTTTCCATTCCGATTCAACAACTGAACATAATTTTTTCATTCTTTTCCGACTCAATTTGCTTTCATTATAAATTGTTTATTGATTATAAAGTCGAGTATGGTGTTGAAAAGTCTACACTACTATTCATTTTATGAATGAATAAAGGAATAGTGGCAAGAGTCCAAAAAAGCAGTAAGAATAATGAGAAAGTATAATAAAATTCACCCTCAAATGAAAATTAGTGAAGATGTGCTTTTTTAAGTTAAAGCGCATTTTCTTGGACCTGGTTTGTAAAATTGTTCAAATTTGAACTTGATTGATTTGATTCTTTTAGCATCTTCTACATAATGTTTTCGTTCATTGCTCAAAAAATCAGTCCTTAATATAAAGGATAAACACGATTTTTATCAAAAGTTTGTAAAAGTTTATCAAAAAATATTGTGCATGATCAAATTTTGTATGAAAATTTTAAAACTTTGATCGCAAATATCTCGAAAACGGCATGTCCTCAGTAATATGGGAGATAGATTTAAGCTTAATTAATTGATTTATATAGGTTTCAGAGAGGTCTTTGGAACACTTTTTAACTTATGAATAGTTTAAGTTTTGTAAAAATACTCAGATTTCAATTCCATTTTTAAGGCTTAATAAGCAGATTTCTATTAAGTTGGTTGTTTTAATATGTTATGTAAATCTAAGCTTAAATTAGCTAGCAACTGCTTCCAAGAAAACCAAATAACAACTTAAAGTAGAAAAAATCATATTTCTTTTTTCATACTCAAATTGTAAACAAATATTGGGTGAGATTAAATTAATGATTTCTGGAGTTAGACAGCAAATAGGAACGAGATATTTTTAAAGGATATGCACAAAGGAAAGATCTTTAATCTGGCATTTAAAAGACAAAGTTTAATTAACATGAAATTTTTGAATTTTTGAACGTTTTTTTTCGATTCTGAATCATTGTGCAATTTTAAAATGGCTTTTGAAAAGTTCGAAGTTGATCAATCTTTATTGAATGTTCAAAACATTAATCTGGCTCAGACTTTAAGATGAACTGACAAATCAATGACAATAGCTCCTAAAGCAAACAAATACCAAAAATAAATTTACTGCAACTCGAAAATCGTTTTAAATAGCCCGAGAATAAAAGAAAGACCGAATTACATATAAATTAATGCATTTAATTATGTGACTAATAGCGGGAAAAAGAGCACAAGGATTCGATGTTCTTTTAACTTAATTGTTTATATGAATATAAAGAGAGTGTTTAATACAAGCAATTGATCACGATTAGAGGAATTGCTACTTAAAAAATCCTTTACACAAGTGACTCATGATGGAAAATTTAAAAGAAAAACTCGAGACAAGTAGCAGAATTGTCTCATAATGACGAAGATAAGCAGTGCGATGGGTTTACAATGAACGAAAAGCGTACAGGATGGAAAGAAAATGAGAGAGAAAAATTAGGTCAATGCATCCCCTTTTCTTTAAATTAGGAGAGAGAAGTGAGTGAGATGGAACAACGCAGTCGACAGTTAAGCATTAAAATAAGTATGAAAAATAAAGATATTTCACGACTAGCTCATACAATGAAAATAAACGGCACTTTCATTCATGAAAAGTAAATAAACATAATGTTAAGTTGTTTGAACTGCAAAACTCAACCTTGAAAATGAAAAAAATCATTTCTCCACCTCTATCACTCATATCCACTCTACCATTTTTGAATGAACTACACAGAGAGAGTTTATAGTACAAAAAATAAAATGAAATGAAATTTCATCGTAATGCTATTTTTAAATCAATTATGATTCACATATTATGTCTAATAAATTCAGAATTTATTCAATTCGAATGAATCGATTTAATTCTCAAACAAGCGAGAGTTCACATTTATTCGGTCAGATGTGAGAGAAAAAAAAAATTATGAAACGGTAATAGAAAAGAAATAATACTCACTAGATATACTCCTTGAACTTCGATCTCTTATCCAAATGTTTTCGTCCAAAAATCCTACAATTTTATGGCTCTGCCGGTTTGAACACAGTTATAACAAATTTTTCATCAATTACGACACTAATTTGTTAAAAAATTTAATACGAAATAAAGAATACACAAAAAAATGTGAATTTTTCGATACCCTGATTGGTCGCGCGTCGCTTATGTCTCTCGGATTATGTAAACATTGACTTTTATGCTTCAAAATTTATGCTGTTACTGCACGATTAAATTTGAAAAATTTAAATTTAAAAATGATCTCCTAGATGATCTAAGTTCCTTTAATGTTTATCGGGAAAGTCTTAGAAAAAGTTTCCGCACATGGGCAGCAAGCCTTTGATTAAATTAGGTACCTTTTGCCTGTATACATTTTAAAAACAATCAAAACTGTGAAACTATTTGCCGGAATTTATGCTGTAATTAATGAGATTTCTGGGAACTTGATTTAATATTTCTATAAGAAATTGAAAATGCTGTTTAATTAAATTAATTCTATTTCGTTTTAATGAGTAAATAAGGAAATATAAGGCAACAACAATTGACTAACGGATAGAGGGAATTTAAAATTTCGACAAAAGCATTCAAATCTCGCGCCTAGTGCACGTGATTAACAGTTTTTGACAAGGATAACACGCTTATTGACTGCATCTGATTTCTATGAATATACACTAGATGTTATGTTGCTCTTGCTGATTCTGCTCTTCTAATTTAGCACATTAAAACCATCCAGATATAAATTGCATTTAGCATGTCAAAATACTCTGTCGATGCTTCCAGTTCCCCATACTGAGCAAAAAATCAACAGTCAAGAATTTAATCAGCACTAAGTTGATTAGGATAGGATAGACAAAAATTGGCTCATTTCAGATAATAACTATATTTCGTCTCATTTCTTATATACTTATTGCAAATTCTCATATAAAAAGTAAAATTTGATAAAAAAAAATCAATTCATTAATTGTACAATAATACTCATTTACGCTTATTAGTAAATTCTGTTGTGTTTAAAGTCAGTCATGTTAGTCATGTATAGCTATAAAATGGGGCTCTGCAAATAGAAATGAGAATTAAGCATTTTTCAGTTATTGGACTATATTTTCTATTTCTTTGTTCAAAAGTATATCATATTATATATTTTTGGAAAGGTCTTGATTTGAGGAATACAAAAAACTTAATTATATTAACCAATTTTATCCAGGGTTGGAACACTAGTGCTCAGAATATGGTGAAAACCATACTTTTTCAACGCTCTTTTTCACCTAGTTCCAGTTGGTCAAAAAACATGCTTTTATGATTTTTAAATTAATAAAATAACATATCAAAACGCAACATAGTTTTTTAAAAAACAACTCTGGGAAACAGAAATATGAATTTTTCAACTCTGGCAACTTTTATATGGGATATCCACTAAAATGAGGATAACTAATCACAGGAAACGAGTTTTGAAATAATTTAAACGAATTTGAATAGGTATTAAAAAGTGAAATAATATAAACACAAAATATTTTGAATTACATAATTTTCAAATGTTAAAAAAACGTTATATGTGATTTTCAATGATAACCACAATGTAATTACTTTTTCTTCTTTTTTCTATTATTTGTGATAAATTATTAACTAGAATCATGTTTTCAATTACAAAATCATAGAAAATTTGAAAAATTCATATTTCTGTTTCCCAAAGTTGTTTTTTAAAAAACTCTATATTGCGTTTTAGTATGTTATTTTATCTATTTAAAAATCATAAAAGCATATTTTTTGACCAACTGGAACTAGGTGAAAAAGAGCGTTGAAAATGTATGGTTTTCACCATATTCTGAGCACTAGTGTTCCAACCCTGGATAAAATTGGTTAATATGATTAAGTTTTTTGTATCTCTCAAATCAAGACCTTTCCAAAAATATATAATATGATATACTTTTGAACAAAGAAATAGAAAATATAGTCCGATAACTGAAAAATGCTTAATTCTCATTTCTATTTGCAGAGCCTCAAATGATAAAATGGTGTGTTGAATGGAATTATTGGTGTTATTGTATGATTAAACTTAACTTAAAATAATATATAAAGTACTCTTGTCTTTGATCATATTCGCGAATTGCACAATCGTGCATGCAGTACGGATGTCATTTCTTTGTAGACATCAGATCTGTTAACTATTCAATTCCGATTTGTTTTAAATCAATACATCTGGACTTGTTGAGTTCATCGGCGGTAAATAAGTTGCTCTAATTTGTTCTCTCAGTCTAGCTATTTCTGGATCTGAAGTTTCTTGTTCCCTTATAAGCTGTTCGAACTGTATTAAGCCTTCACGTCCCGAGAATCCATAATTTGAGACGACATTCATTTGAATCTCCATGACAATTGGAAATACTTGTTGAAAGAATTTAATCGTTTCCTTTCCACTAAGTGCTGTTTAATGCATTATTAATTAGATTAAGTGATGATAATTGGAATAACATTTTTCTTACATTTTGCTTCGCTAAGTTTTTTGCTGTTTTCTGGAAGTGCGATGGCTTTAAGGATATCTATGAGAATCTTTCGTGCAGTCTCTAAATTCATATTGTGCGCCATATCTTTTTGTGCCTTACAAAAGCCTTAATTAGAATAGAAATTAAAAATTGTGAAATTTTGATTTAAAAACAAAAATAAACTTTGTTTTGCGTCTTTTTGATGGATGTCAATTTTTGATAGCGATTATATTTGAAAGAATTTCATGAACTTAGATGGATTTATTCGATAGATTTGGCATTTAAGTACATGACAATAAACTATTTTTGTTTTAATTCAGTAAGAATTTGTAATTAAATGCAATTTCTCCATACCTGATTTAACGGTTTTCAAAATTTCAAAATGACAAAAAAGATGCGAAAAAATAGCAAATTTGTAAAGGGAATTTTATATAAAATTAAACAATGAACCTTTAAAATTAATTGAAAAAGTAGTTTTTAAAGGCTCAATAAAGCAGTCATAGCCATATATTAGGAACCAACTTCCGTTGATTTTATCGTATGAGTAAAATATTGTACCAAACATAGCCCATTTCGTGAAATTAACAAATTATTACGAAAAATCAGGGAAATAAATTATAGATTTTGTATCTAATATGAATGACGTAGAACTTTCGAATGAGGAGACCGAAAAAGTTCTTCAGTTCCAAGAACTGACAGGAATAGATGATATCAACGTCTGTCGAGATATTTTAAGGTAAGCTGAAAATTAATGAAGCATAAAGTAGAAATTTTGATGACACAGCGCTAGCTACTGTCAGTTTATGTGTCTCAAGTGATTAATTGCACCTTAATATAATACATAATTCTGATCTATTTTTTAGTCGTCATCACTGGAACTTGGAAATAGCATTTCAAGAGCGTGAAAAATTAAATGAAGGCGTTCCATCCTTATTCTCCACACAAGAGACACGAGCACCAGCCGTACTCAACGATCGCTTCTTACAGCATATATTTATAAGCAATAATCGTAATAATAATAGTCCTAGTTCTGGTGGAATATTTGGATTATTTAGCTATGTTATTAATTCACTGATCAATTGGTGCTACTCGACACTATCATCGTTCATTCAGACACTCCTATCTGCTTTTACAGAGCGCGAAAGAATTGCTACTAATCCTTTAGATGATGTCCTTAAATTTATACAAGATTACAATACAAAATATCCAGTTCACCCAGTTTTCTATCAAGGCACATATGCTCAAGCATTAAATGATGCAAAACGTGAACTCAAATTCCTCCTCATCTATCTTCATTCCGAATCATCATCACCAGCCGTTATGTCTGGTCAGCAGAGAATTACTGAAACAATTAATTTCTGTCGCAATACATTGTCAAATGAAGATGTAATAAGTTACATCAATAGACATATGCTATTTTGGGGATGTGACATTTCATCACCTGAAGGTTATCGTGTTTCTCATTCTTTTAATGCACGTTCTGGTCATTATCCTTTCATGGTCATAATTGCATTGCGTGATAATAAAATGACAATTATGGGACGTTTAGAAGGTGATTGTATAGCTGATGAATTTCTTGTACGAATGCGTCGTGTTGTGACTGATAATGAGAGATGGTTGAATGCTGCGCGTCATGAAAGACTCGAAAGAAGCTTTAATCAAACATTAAGAGCTCAACAAGATGTAGCGTATGAAGAAAGCTTAAAGGCTGATCGTGAAAAGGAAAGAAGACGTCAAGAGGAACGCGAAGAGAAGCAAAGAATTGAAAATGAAATTAAGGAAGCTGAAGCAACTGAAGAAAGATGTCGTGACTTGAAAGAGCGAGTGAAATTGGAATTGGTACATTTAGTGCCTTCAGAACCGGCTGATAATGATGCTGATGCCATTAGTATTGTCTTTAAACTGCCAAATGGTATGAGAATCACTCGACGGTTCCTTAAAAATAATTCACTGAATGTACGTATTGAATCGGTTATATTTAACGTATTTTTGAAATTTGAATTTTCAAAACCGATTACTTTTAAATTTATAAAATCCGTTGGAAATGCATTAATTATTTTTTTTTGCAAATTGATTATTAACATTCTAAACTGCATTGCACATGCGACTAAAATGTCTAATAATAATTCTTGAACAGCTTCCAATATTAAAAAAAATGTTACCCTATTTTTAGGACATTCACAACTTTATTTTCTGTCATCCCGATGCACCAGACAACTTCGTGCTATCCCAAAACTTTCCAAAACGTATATTAGAATGTGGAAAAGTCTCAACGGAAGGCTGCACTGGATATGAATCGACAGCAGAAATAATTGAAACACTTATAAGCATTAATACACTTAGTATATCAGACACTGGTCTACAAAATCGCGAAGTTTTGTTCGTCAGTGATTTAGATGCATAAAAGAAGACGATTGGAGCAGCTGCAAAGCGGCATTTGTGGGAAATTCAAAATGTTGTTTTAGATAAATCTTCAACCACATTCAATTTATGATCATCATCACCAGTTATAGCTTAGAGTTTAAAACATAGCAGAAAAAGGCGTAAAAATTTTTTGTGTTTAATTCCATTTTTTTGTTTCTTGTCCTGCATTTATGTTTTTTTTTTTCGACAGAATTGTGCAAATTTATAGTCTTGACTATACTTATTTCTTGTTCCGTACATTTAAAAAGTTTCAAATTTCAATATACTTTTTTTGTTTTCCTGGTAAGCAACTTGAGTATTGTGTCTATGCTTAGACCATAGAAAGCTTCAAATTGTCTGACTTAGGGCATTATTTCTTGAAATTATTAATTATGAGTTATAAACTACTAATTATTCTGTTTTGTGGGAAATGAATAATCAGTGATTATTTAATAAAGTTTATTGGAAAATTTTTAATTGCTGATGTGTTTATTAATTTTGCTAACAGACCTTAGGTCATGCAATTATGACGTCCATTGAAAATTAAGGTTGTAGATCAAAAATTATCATTCAAAATTTAACGGTTTTGAACAATTTGAATTCTCATACAACTGAATTTCACACAGGTTTTTAAATTTTTGAAAGCCGTTAGATTTTTTGTTGCAAAATTCATTTTAATGACAATTTTGAACGACTTTAATTATTTTTCAACGGATTTCAAAAATTTGGATCAAAAATCCATAGTCAAAAATTCAAATTTCTAATCACCGTTATTTTTAAAAATGGTTTTCTAGCAACTTATTCTTTGAAATTGTAGTTTAAGGATCTTTGCAGCAATGAATTCAACAATTTTCAGTACAAGTGTCTCATTTATTGCGACATTAAACTGATAAAGCCGTTAAAATTCTTGTGAGGCTTCATAATCCTAAATAATGACACGTATGGCATCAAGCTAAAGTATCAATTGTCAAATGTGTGAAAATGGACATAAAAACAAGAACAAGGATAGAATTTTCGTTTAATGAATTTTTATTTCAAACTAATTTTCAGTTCTTCCTGAATTTTTACTTATATTTTTTCTTGTGTATCCATTAAATACCATAAAACAATAAAACATGCTCTAAATATTTAAAATGGGTAATTTTTTTTATAGTTTATTTGACTTTGTAATTTGTTGACTCCGTGTACGGAGAAGATTCATATTTGCTGAGTACAATGCTTAATTCATATCATCTAGTTTTTGTTGTATCTTTTTTTCGCAGCAGCATATTTACTCAATTCAGGAGGTCAAATATGACACCAAATTTGTTTTTATTTAATACAAATAATAATAATAATAATGATAATGGATGATAATCAATTAATTTAACCGAAACAACGACAAAAGAATGGATGCCTAATGTGCAAAACACAATATAAAATAATAATAATAAAACCATGAACTTTTTTTCTTTCAGCTTCCAAACACTTTTTTTTGTAGCAACTTGTTCATTATTGTGATAAAATCATGTATTATATTGTATGAAGCATGACAGTAGATAATAATATATAAAAATGTTTACAATAACATTGTGGCAGGATCCTCCATATGACTGCGGAAATATTGCAACCAGCGAGCTCCAACTGCTCCATCGACTGTTCTATGATCAGCACTTAATGTTACCGAAATGAACGTTGCTTCTTTGAATCTATAAATTATTAATTAACTGTCAGTCACAGTCACTTCACTTTTTGGGGAAATTAAGTTATGACTCACCCTTTCTCGGAATTCTCATCGATAACAAGACGTTTCTGGCTTCCACCAATAGCTAAGATGCACGATTGTGGTGGATTAATGATTGCGCTGAAGTGAGTAACATCAAACATTCCAAGATTTGAGACTGTGAAGGTGCCTCCTTGGAACTCTTGTGGCTGTAATTTGCCTTCGCGTGCTCTTGCTGCGAGTGACTTAACATCAACTGAGATGTCTGCAACGCCTTTACGATCAGCACTGAAGACAATTGGGGTGATGAGACCGTTGTCTGTTGAAACAGCGACTGAAACATCGACAGCATCGAATCTGCAAATCAGACATAGGAAAGAAAGTAATTAGAATTAAGTTTTGGTTAATAAATGATCAAAAATAGCGGTCTAAAATTATTTGAATTTCAACTGTCAAAAAATATTTGAATTTTAACGGTTTAAAAATATTCAAAAAATAGGTGTCAAAATTTGTTCAAAATTTAATCCTCAGATTTACACAAATCAAAATTTTTAATCCACACGATTTAAATTGAGATATCTTTGCGAACCTTTTTTAATCCACTTTAGATTTGCGAGAAGAACATAAAAAAACTTTCCTCTACAAAATATTTGTTTACTGTAAATTGTTAATGATCAACCGGCGAAAAAAAATAAGATATACGCTCGTTCACTGCTCGCGTGGACAGTATTCACATATTTTTATATTAAATTGTCATTGAGGTATATTTTCGTGAACGAAAAGTGAGTAAACAACAGAAAATAACCCCAGAGAATGAGAATAACAAGAATGAATTGGGCAAGAGTTACACAGCGATTGAGAAACGTGCACACATTTTTACACGCTTTATGGATGAACATCATCAACATCATCTTGGAAATTTGTGTATCACACTCGATATTTTGGCTGTTGATGACATTCAAATGACTTTCATACGATTTATTTTATATTAAGAAAGTGCTGTTATCTTCCTCACTTTGACTTTCATCTGACATTATATGACGTTGCAGAACTGCATTCTTAATATAACTTAAAATGCCTTTGCAGACCGTTACTCATAAATCGCATTCATACACACTTTTTTCTCATCTCGCGGTCGGTCATTCACACATCACATGATAATCAAGTAAACAACAAAATAACTTACTGTCTAATTTTGTCTCCCAACCATGCTGAGTTAGCTTCTGGAACCTTTTTGCAGGCAATTGCAGCAGCCTTGATAATAAAGTCATTGATTGAAAGTTTCTTTCCGTCTTTTTCCAATGATTTGTTGAAGCGAGCGCGTAACTGGAGAATCTTGTCAACATTGCAGTCTACAGTGAGATAATAGTGAGGAATTGAAACCTTTGACTCTAACAATCGTTTTGCGATAACTGCGCGAATGTTTGAGACTGGAATATCGACAAATGCAGCTCCTGGTGGGATGATTGGCATTCGTGGGGCTGATGGAGCGCTTCCTTGTTGAGATGGAGCACTTGCTGATAATCCAGCGAGATCTTTAGCTGTAAATGATCCGAAGAAACCACTTCCTTTACCATCCAAACGTAATTGTTGCTTTTCAGCGAGTCTTTTAGCCATTGGACTTGCAAAGACACGATCTCCATATCTTTGTTCGACAGCTGTTTGTTGTGTTGCTTGAACAGGCTGTTGAGGGGGTGGTGGGGCAGCAACAGGCGTAGGTGGGGGAGGAGGAGCTGCTGCCTGAGCTGGTTTTGGAGTTGGTGCTGCTGAAACTGCATCATCCTTAAAATCTTTGAATGCTGCAATATCTGATTCATTATTGACAATAATGCAGACTAATTTTCCAATTTTAATATCCTTAGTTCCGCCAGGAAATAAGATCTTGGCTAAATATCCTTCTTCGGGTGTTTCAAATCCCATCGTTGCCTTGTCAGTTTCGATTTCAGCCAATAAGTCACCTAAAAATAAATCAATTAATTATTTATAATCAGTAAATTAGTTGATGTGATTGAACTAGGTCAGTATGTGCTATTTATGTTTCGGTTTAAAGTGGTTTTAAGACGAAAAGTCATGGTCATTGACATTGTTTGACTTGAGGAAAGTTATTTCAATCCAAAAATAGAGAGATGCTTTATGGAATCAAAACAAGAAGTCAATGTTCTGTACGCGATCAATTCATATGACCTTTATCATACAAATTTTGACCTTGACAACTGTTTTCTTCATGGAAAATTCTAGAAAATTGTGGAACCACGGAGAAAGTGATGTCTCCTAATTTTATAAACCAAATTAATTTCTTTTTAAGGACTTAACAGGTCAAAAAATTGCCAAATCAACATACATTTCGATAAGATGGGAAAAAAGTATACAAAAACATTACCTTCACTGAGTTTGTCGCCTTCCTTCTTCTCCCAGCTTACAATTGTACCAGTTTCCATGGTAGGACTGAGTGCTGGTAACAATACCTTTATATGATCGGGTAAATCGGCATAACAGCGATAAAATGCAACTTTGCATGGTTGTTGCTGGAGAAGTTTGCTGTTTGATTGCGAGACGTTCCTACAATGTAGAAATAATAAGGAAAGGAGAATCGTATGAGAATCTAATAAGATGACACTAGCAGAAATAAGGAGTCAGTCTATATATAAAGAGTAAACATCAACATATTTCGTGTGCAGCAGAAAATAATATAATAAAATTGCGAGAAAGAGATGGAATGAATTTAGATTGTGATATAATCATTTTCAATTGAAAAAGTGGAAAATACCAACTTTTTGGGTATCGTATCTCTTTCTATGTAAATAACTGGATTAGTTATTAATGATCCAATTCATATCTTATCATTATATAATTAATTATACGATAATTACCTGATATTATTGAATTTTTGGAAACACTGAGTTGACAAACAGCGGACAGCATTTAATTTGTTAATTCTGCGGACCGAACTTTGCAACAGGTGCTCATTTCGTACTACAATCGTTCGTAACATGTTGCTCGATGAGGTATTTAGTGTATGAATTTAAGTTTCCAATGAATTAATTTAAAAATCTGATTTTTCACTCGATTGAAAACTCAGCTCAGCAGAACTATCGGAGATATCGCACTGACTAAAGCTTTGTTGCAAAATCTCGTTTTTCGCTGTTATTCAGCATTTTTTGAATTATTCAGATCCGTTACTTTATTGTTTTTATGAACATAAAAAGAGCTATCAGGTTGCGTGCATTTATTTACGGAAGATTGAGTTATATTCATAGCACTGAACTTATCAAAATGTGAAACTATTGCTTATTTGCTTCAGAAATTTCAATTTTGTATTTTTGCTGAAATTCATCAAATTTGCTGAGATTTGAATTTCAAATATACGTTATTTATAACCGATTTATAAACAGTGAATCAGTTCAACTTGAAGTTGGCTGTAAAACAGATATAAAATTTAAATTATTTCCGTTAAAATCTGGTTAAAATTCTGAAGAATTTTTTGAGCTAGCCAAAACAGGACTTCCACCTTATTTATGTCCATATAAAATAAATCTAATTTCGTGTCATTGAAGAGCTCCAAAAATAGACAAGAACCAATTCTAAGAAAGAGAATTAATTGCGTACATGACTAGAAATAAAAATAATGTAAATCACCATAAACTTCTATTCATCACCATTCAAATATAAATTGTAGTATCTCATTAATCGAAAGCCAAGACGAAGATTAACAAATCTGAAGAGAAAAGCCAATCGTCCATGACTTAAAAAGGAACCTGCTTTAATAATGATCTAAAATTAATCATCTATCCAATGATTTTCATAATCTCCGAAAATTATTCGCAAAAAAAAAAACTTTAATCAAATCTGATAGCCAATAATGTCTTAATTGAGCTGAATGAATAATAAATTACCATAGATTATGAGAATTAAGTAAGGACTTGAAAATGAAAAATTAAAGTCCATAACATTTTGGAATAAATTTAAAAAATTATTTTACGATATGGGAAAATATCTAAAAGTAAAGAAGCACCGCCTATCGAATATTGCAAGCATCAACGTCGACTTAATACACAAGCTGATGTTGGGCATTGAAAGAGAGAAAAAAAAAATGTAAAAGAAAATTCACTAACATTGTAGTTGTGCGCGATAGTGGCAAGTAAGAAGCAGAAAACTGTTCGACTACTGTTCAGTTCTCACGCAGGATGCAGATTTGAATTATGGAACTGAAATTTATGGGAAGAGAGTTTGGAACTGTTGATAATGATAAAAGTGAGATGTTGATTGCAATTTGTTTGACTTGATTTAGTGGAATTGAATTTGTATGATTTGCTTTGCATTAATGTTGCTACTCACCCATACCTCTGTGGTACTGCAGATTATTCTATGGCTCCTTGATCTTTTTTAAAACTGATTTTTGAATATTTTAGGTTATTTTAATAAGATTCAAATTTTTATATTAAATATCTCATCTATTAAAGTAAGTTTGTGTTGTATTTAATTTTTGCCATATTTTTGCTTAACTTAGAATTGCTCAAGTTCTTGTAATCAAGCTTAAACTTAGAGAAAAATCCAAAAAAAAAATTCGAAGTGAGTTAATTTTCACGTGTTTTTCAAACTTAGCGCAGAGAAATGCGTTATAAAATCAAAGTGGCTCAACATCCATGCTTGTGATTCTCAAAATATTTTTCACATACAAAAACTTTATAAAAAAATTGACTTTGATGAGTGTGACGTAATATATCAATAAAAAATAATTTGATTCCCATATATGCTAAGGACTTGATCAATAGCAATCAAGTCAGTCCACCATTTTCCTTCTTTGAAGCACAGCCAACGATCCACAGCATTATTATCGATTCTTAACCGTCTTTTCGCTGCAAAAATAAAATTTACATTTTTCAATTCAAGTCTTTTCTCTTCTCTCTGCTGCAGAATTTGCCCTGAAGGTGTTGTGCCTGTGATTTGTACTCCGCAATTTAAGAGAATTTTCATAATCTCCCATTCAAGCTCCATTGTATTTTGGGTAACGTGAAAACTTTATATTTGTTCCCATGAATACCAAAAAAATGTGAAGTATAAAGGAATAAAAATTATAATATTGAGAGGCCAAGCATTAAATGTAACAAAGGGAAGGAGAATGTATAGCATAAGAAATGAATAAAAATTGATCACTAAAAGAAGAGAATTCTTTCCATTCATGCGTTGTGTGCCCTTAAATGTACGAAAAAAAAGTATAATAATATAAAGGAAGGGAATGAATTGAATGATTTTTTTATTTTACATTTCTTCTCTTTATGCTGTATATTCATGCAAAACGATTACACCATAAGAAAGAAATAATTAAAGTCTGAGACATTTGCATTTTGAGACGGTTTGTGATCTTCTGTGATCTTTTCGTTTCCATCGATGCCATTGCATTGATTTATTGAGTGTTCTCAGAATGCGACTTGTTTCATTTGCACAATAAAAGGGAGAATTGAATATTTAACAAAACAATCTGACGGCATAGAAGAGTCGCATGCCTTTTTGGAGCACTTTTTTTTGGGGTTTTGGAATGTGGATGAGTGATGCTTTTTGTCTTTGGCTGATTTTTGTTTCGGTACTGGATGTTGGTAGATAGAAGAGAGCTTTAAAGCTAGCTTTAGTTTAAATTTGAACTCTTAAAAACAGGAAAGGGAGGAACAAGTTAAGATCATACCTAATCATTGGTTTCGGACCAGTTAATATAATCCCTGGAAGCTGTGGCTATGGCTCGAAGAGCATATTCGCCTGAGTATAGGGCTCGCATTGGACTGATTATATGTATGTGTATGACGAATAGCCAAAGTGAGATAAGTACCTCGGTGACAGAGTGGCAGGTATCTCTGATCGAGTGGTCAGAGATCACCTCTAAAGTCGTGGGTTCGATTCCCACCGAACATGACTTGTTTTACATTAGGAAGCACATATGACAGTTATATGGAGACACTTAAGCTTTGTGTCACCAAAACTCTCTCAACCATCAAAATTATTCAATAATCAGTATCATAAAAACTTCATGCTTACCTCCTGCCAATAATATAAAGTCATAAATAAATCAAAAGTCGAGTACCGAATAAGCACGTAGCCCTTATCTAGCCAAGCACAAATGCACACCATCCATCCACATTGCATGACATGCTTTTCAACTCATTTTCATTTCTTTTAATCGAAAGCAGTCCCCAATTCTTTTGCGACAATTCAACATTACCGCAAGAGGGGATTTTTTTTTCAATTTTTATTCATTTATTGTGGGCATGTGCATGCACTTTAATAACGAAAAAATTTATTCATATTATTTTTTTTTCTGATTGAGTTATTATTGCTCGCATTTCACAATGTAATGACTTGCATATGAGAAGTCACATACATCTTTCTATGAATAAATAATTCAACATTGTAATTGGTTATTTGTCGGCTTTCATATGCCGCCAAACATTTATAGTCTTTTCTTTCCCGTTTCAAATGGAAATCGTATGGCCATAATAATGGAACTGTATTGTTTTGATGTGTCTCTGGTTCACTCATATATTCATATATGCTGAAAAGCATTATTTCTTTTGTTTAGAGGCTTAAGAGACTCGAATTGCTGGCTGCTTATTCATGCTCAGACAAATTGTGATTATTATTTTTAAAGTTGCAAAAAAGCAGAAATTTTTTTTTAATAATTGCAACAGGAATAGATACTTAATAGCAGGTCGATTAATCAATTGGCCATTGGTGAAGAAATCTTAAAGGGTCGTATGATGTCCGAAATTAACAGTCATTTTTCCAAAAAGAACAATCGATTTTCCGGAATTTCTATTCTTTTTTTCTTGCTGACTACCCCAGCCCCCCCCCCCCCCCTGGACGACATATCTGAACGGCCCCTAAGGTAGTCAAGGGTGTCGTACTGATGAAATGATCAAAAATGATCAAAAAAATTATCAAAATTGAACATAAATGATCAAAAATGATCAAAATGTAATTTATAAGTTCCGCACTCTTGAAGGTAGTTTAATGATTCAATTTTGAATTTTGAGCATTGTTAAAACTGGTTAAAACAACTTAATTAATAAATATACAGCAAATATGGTTAAAGAAACTACAAAAGTTAAAACTGAGTTATTCATAAATAAGAGAACTTTGGAGGTTCAAATCCCAAATATTCTAATTGACTGTAACAATGTAATTTAAAGAATGCTTCTTGATGTTGAGTTCCTTAAGTCATACTTAAATCCTGATAAGCAATTACAAAGAATTTTAAATGATTTAAGTAAATCGAGCATGTGATAAGTTTCTATTTTTCCATTTCCCAAATTCATAATGAATCTATTCCAAAAAAGACATAAGCAAAGCATGAACTGTATAAAGCATATAACTTCAGTTAACCAGATCACCTAATAAATAATGTAAGACCTCGCTTTGACAGATAACATCAGCCACTGCATTTACAAAACACAAACTTCATTAAATATCCAAAGCTAAAAAGGAACAACTCAAACTTGTCGTGACATGAAAACTAGTTGAACGACTAAATATTAATTCACTTGCTTACAAAAAGCCAATTCATTGGTTTTCATCGCCTTCAAATTAGTTATAATGACCAAATACTTTTGCAATCCACAGTTTAATGGACTAAAATGATATTAATGTTGTACAAAATGTGATTTCAATTTCAGAATATGAAACAATAATGATAATAATAATAAATAAATGCTTTTATTTGTACAAATTACCATGTTTTTTATTTCGAATATAAGAAGGAATGGAAATGAATGTGCATTTATGTGAAATATTATGAGAGAGAGAATTGAAGGCGCCTGCCATAAGTAACAAGCTCTCAAACTTCATGTTTGCTGCTTATTGCCTTGTTTTCGTGGGCATAAGTAGCTAAAATATTCAATGATTGATTATTGTTTTCTGGAAGTTTTTTTTTCATTTCTCATGAAATATGAAATAATAAAAATCCATAAAGTTCCATAATAAGTCTTTGAGAATGAGATATATTGTTGTTATGGAAGATTACTTCATAATTCATGGAACTTGCTTTAATTTTGTTATATTTCTATGTAGCTTTTATTTTAGGATTTTCAATAATAAAATTTTAACGTGGTGTGTTCGTACTTTTAAGAGATAAAGTTAATTTATTCATTTCTGCT